ATCATTCCATCAGAGTTTGTAATACTTAAATCATCATGTAATTAACCGTCAGAATAGTTGATCCAACGGTTACAAACCCCTGACGGAAATGGTTCCGTAACAGGACCGTAACATTTCTCAAACCTAGTAAGATACATATTTCGCCCGCACAAAATCATCAGCCATCTTTTTACATGTATAAACATTGAGAACAATGTACAAAATGTGACAAAACAGGGAAATCAATAATATTTACTCTCACAGTGTACACAATTAAGTAAGGTTGCAATAACAAAATCACAACCCAAACACCACTGCAAGGAAAAATCAAACCTTTCCTTTTGCCCACCACACACTTCACTTGCATGCATATATAATAAACCCATCATATTCATGGGTCCAATCGGCCAAGTCAAACTATAAATTTTCTTTTCTTATAAAGATCCAAAAAAAAAGAAAGAAGTAATTTTTCCTACATAAACGTCGACGTTAGGGACTCGAAAATCTCTTCATCGCAAGGAATAGTAAGGCCCGCGTCGTGATCGAACCCGAATTCCTCCTCAGCCCTTTGAAGCAGGCTCTGGAATTCGGGTTGGGTCAAGATCGATAAAGGGACAATGTACCGGCTTCGACTTTCCCCAACATAAACCACAAAGTGCCCTTTCGGGACATCCAACGGCAGTCCTTGATCGTTTAAGTACCCGTTTTTCTTGCCCAAGCTCGAGCACCTCTTCATAAGATGTTTAACCATTGCCTTTTGTTGTGAGAGCTTGTTGTTGCACTTTATAATGGCCATTCTCTTTCTTTCTTTTGATATTTGGAGGCTATCAAGAAAATCTTTGTCTTTCTTTCTTGGTGATCAAAACATAGGTGAATTACTTCCTATCTATCTCTAGAGCATAGAAAGAAGAAAATTTGAGGGTGTGGTGAGGAAATATTTTGTGGGTAAGTGTAGTATTTATATTTAAAGTTGGGGGCAACTTTTCTTTGGAGAAAAGTAGATGAATAGAGGTTTTTTTGTTTTTCTTTTCTAATTTAATTTGTTTGTCTTATAGGAAAAATATGTGCATGGAGGTGGAAGAGTCATTGTTGACAATTCTCTTGGCATAGTGCTAATAATGAACTAGATCAAAATGACTCAATTCAAATTCTAGTGCTTCTTCTATTAGTGAAGTTTCTAGAAAAAATATATCAAACGACGCAATGCATCTTGGGTCGCTATGGAAACAGCCTCCACTGACCCTCCAGACCCCAACCCGTTTGGGAATATACTGGGTATGTTGATGTTGATGATGTCTTATAGGAAAAAAAAAGGAAAGAAATTGAGAAACAAGAGCATGTGGTTTGTGAAGAACCGTGAGAACCATATTTGATGCTAGTTGGTTATCGTTTGTACATTTTCTCTTATATATATATATATATATAGGGGGAGGATCCAATGAGTCCACTCCTTAAAATGAGTACACTTCTTAAAATGAGTCCACTCCTTAAAATATATATTAATTCAGTAATAAAATAATTATTAGTTTACTCCGGCGTTGACCGTTGACTTCCGGCGAAAAATCGTTGACTTTCGACGTTGACCGTTGACTTCCGGCGTTGACCCGTTGACCTCTAGTATGCATTATATGTATAAAGTAAATATGCATCTAGTACCATACATTCAATATGAACTAAATGCATGGGATATGAATTGTACATGCAGTCCTTATGAACTATATATGCACCAATAATATCAACTAAATATGCACCTGTTATGAACTAAATATGCATCTGTTACGAACTAAATATGCATCATGAATGAACTAAATATGCAGCGAAAAATATGCAATAAAATGAGCAGTTTATATAGGTAATTTATGATGCATATTTAGTTAATTTATTATGAATATTAGGTAATTTATGATGCATAATTAGTTAATATGAAATGCATACTTGTTATATTTTAATTAAGTATATAATAATATTTATATAATTAATTTATTATGCATATTTACTTAATTCATGATACATATTTAGTTCTTACGAAATGCATATTTAGTTCATGAACAGTGCATACCTATTTTATTTGAGATCCAATCATAACAATTTATTTGTGTTATTAATCAATTTAAAATTAAAATTATTTATATAATAAAAATCATTGATTATTATATTTAATTTAATTGTATAAAATATATATTTTATTGCATACTTTTATGAACTAAATATGCATCTGTTATGAACTAAATATGCATATGTTATGAACTAAATATGCATCATGAATGAACTAAATATGCAGCGAAAAATATGCAATAAAATGTGCAGTTTATATAGGTAATTTATGATGCATATTTAGTTAATTTATTATGAATATTTAGGTAATTTATGATGCATATTTAGTTAATACGAAATGCATACTTGTTATATTTTAATTAAGTATATAATAATATTTATATAATTAATTTATTATGCATATTTACTTAATTCATGATACATATTTAGTTCTTACGAAATGCATATTTAGTTCATGAACAGTGATACCTATTTTATTTGAAATCCAATCATAATAATTTATTTGTGTTATTAATCAATTTAAAATTAAAATTATTTATATAATAAAAATCATTAATTATTATATTTAATTTAATTGTATAAAATGTATATTTTATTACATATTTTCGTTGCATATTTAGTTCATTCCTGATGCATATTTAGTTAGTAAAATGTGCATATTTAGTACATAAATAGTGCATACATAGTTGATATTACTGGTGCATATTTAGTTCAAAAGGATGATATATATAATTCATTTCTTATGCATATTTAGTTTTTACTAAGTGCATAGTACTGTATGCATATTTACTTCATACACAATGCCATACTATGGGTCAACAGTCAATGCTGAAAGTCAACGATTTTTCGCCGGAAGTCAACGGTCAAC